AAAGGGAAATTTGTGCGACATTTAGCGTTAACATTGCGACATTTAACGGCAAATGATTTTGCGACATTTAGCGGCGGTTGCGATATTTAGCGGCAAATGGTGCGACATTTAGCGGCAAGTGCGACATTTAGCGGCGTTGCGATATTTAACGGCGCCACATACATATTATCACATTCAAATTTTTTTTAAAAAAATGAAAAATCTCAATCTTTTCTATTTTTGATTATCATACTGATTGACCGCTTCTGTGCTGGTGCGAGTTAACAACCAAAAACAAAATCATATTGAAAACAAACATAATAGTTTCAGTTTAATATAAGTTTTAAAAGGACTTCACTGAGCTATTTTGGCATGACAGGACTCAAAAATATTTTCTGATATTTGTGTTTCATTTGAAAACTAGAAAAATGCCTTTCATGCAAATTTTAAGATCATTCCCTCAGCACGTCTTTCCAGGATAATTATTTTTATTGTCCGAAATGACCCAAAATGAAAAGCGTTGCAACGCTTTTCACTCAAATCGGGCTTAAAATTACACACAAAAATCGATAACTAATTTCTTTTAAGTATACATATACATGTATTTCGTTATCATCTTTGGTAGATTTCTCCACTTGAAGTGCTTTACCTGATCTTGAATGAAGAATTTCTAAATTTTTTAGGTTTTTAGGTTTTCCGACCTCAGTGGAGCTCCTTTAATGTTAAAAGACCACTTTGACTATAACTTACCAGGCATTTTGTACATTAAATATCATCTTCTTAGATATACCATTCATATATTAAACTCCCTTTGATGAACAAATGGCAGCCCCAACATCAAATCCCTCTTTTCCGATCTTCACATCATGAAAATTCCGGTACTTAAATTCTGAAGGGTAAGACTATTTTAATTCAGTATTTATCTTTAGACAGATCAAATTAATGAAGAATCCTTTATCAGGTAACTTTTTTTAATAACTGACTTATTACAATGTATCCTCAAAGCTATTTAGATAATTTTCATTCTTTGTATCTCTAGGAAAATATCAATGAAAAGTGGCCTCTGTGACTGGGTACTGAGAACCTATAATCCCTCACCGATTTGAATCCCGCCCGAAATTGGTATTCTATCTTGTTATGGAAGGTCGGAAAGTTGTGGAGAAGGAAAGTTTCCATATACGATCTGATCAGTGCAAATGTGAATTAAAACTAGTATATAATTATCCAATGATAAATAAGGAAAATAGACATAATAGGAATTTTATTTCGCCTTGTACAGGCAGGAAGACATATTACTTTTGTTATACACAGTTCATCATTTATAATACATTTTTCACACTATACAGTAAGGCTGTCAAAAAGCAGGAATGATTTTAAAACATAATGCTATGTTGAACGAAATATTCTTTTTGCATATAGCAATTGAGATGGTATGTAGTACGAATGGTCGTTATGAAAATATTAATTTATGTAACAACAGTATTGAATATAATTATAATAACAACAGTATTGAATATATAATACATGTTTAATCTTACAATTGCCGTTTTATAAAAAGGTTAGTAATCAGTTAATTCTAAGTTTCTAAGTTTAATTGAATATCTCAGTACGCAGAAAAAATATCAAAATGAATTAAAAACCATGTCTACAGAAAGATGAATTATATGTACTTCAATACTGCATTTATTTGATCATTTAATTCTGTTTAAAGATAATTAAAAAAAATCATAATCTAAACAGAATAAACGGGGTCAAAACTATCAATAACTGTCAACATATAAATATCGTCTGTCTACTATAATGCTATGTTCTCACCGTCGTTCAGATTACCTCGATCGTCCCGATCACATTAATTCCCCGATGAAGCCCGACCAAGCTGGATTAAATGCACATTCACGCGACTCCTACACGACCTCAAGTCGACCCTACACGATGTTTTATGACTTCTTCTCGACGACAACCCGACCAATATCCCGACTTCCTCTCGATCACCCACGCGTCCACGATTTCAACTAGACTAACTGGACCTCTGCTCGATCGTTGCAAGATTTCCACCCGACCAGATCATATAATGCTCGAGTAGAAGTTGAGATGATCGTGTACAGATCGGGTAAGAGATGTATACGCGACCAAACTAGATCGTTACACGATTTATTATCGATCAACTAGATCTTCTACTCGATCACTATACGATCGCTTCTCGACCGCTAATCTACTCGATCGCTATTCGAATTTTTTTTGACATGTCAAAAAAATTCTGGTAGGAAGCCCGAGCAATGCCAACCAATGTAGACCGCTCCGACCACCCCCGATCACGCATGCAGACCGAGCTAGACAGGTACCCGATCGCTTGATCGTGCTTGATCGAGTTGATCTGATCGACGGTGAGCACACAGCATTAACCTTTTCTTTACTCGTTTGTATTGGTGATTGGTGAACAAGTTGCACACGCTTTCTACCTCGCGAAAATGTGATGTCAGCGGGTGGTCTATTGAAATAGAGGATGCTGTTAATATGAATTGTCAAAAAGTCAACCATTATAATTAGAGTAGTAAAACAATATTTAATTTATATACAAATGGATAAATACATGTGATAGAAAGAGCATCGAAACATTGTAGGAGGGGGGTAGCCCCCGAGTATAAATCATATTGCCAAGTTTTTTTATGTTTTTTCTCTTTTGTATCATAGCCTAAAATAAAAACACGTTCCATGTCGTTACAATAAGTAACCCCAGAAAAACAGTCAGCAATGTGCGAGCATTTGAATATAACTTTTCTATCATTATCCCTTTCCCTGTCGTCACAATAAGTAAACCCAAGAAAATGCTAAGCAACGAACATGCGCTATATTTGACAGCGGTATTGGGAGTGCAGGTAACTAATACCTGCACTCCAGTAAACGCACTGTGCATGTATGGGTGTACGATTTAACTATAGAAAGGTTTCCAAACTTTGATATATGTACACGTATTTACAATGTACACATTTGAGTTGATTTCTTTATAATTCTTTATAATTCTTGTTTGTTTTAAAGACAAACCCTTTATTTTTAGAGTTTCAAGTTCCATAAATTTAAGAAATTCGCAATTTTTATATTGTTATTTACACTGATGAGTTATCGTATTTTTTAATTGTTCAACATAATAATCATTATGTCAAAATCCATGTCTTTAGAATGATATCTTAAACTTCTGTAGTTTAATTTTACCAACGCATTAGTTTGTTATTGCAAGAAGTGATTTATCACGTGAGATACTTAGTCTATACGGATATATCATATCTAGCTTGTACGATGATAAGATCCAACCAGTTTGTGAGACCTGTACAATAGAATTTGTTCTATTACAACAAACCAGGATAGTATCAGAGGGACCAACTGCTACACCACGCGGTTCCTGTATTTGTCCATCCTTCACCACGACCCTCGTGTTTGTCTTGACGTCATATATGTAGACAGTATGCTCGTCTCTATCAGTAAGCACCACTTTATCACTGCTCCTTATGTAAGTGCAAGCGCTTTTTTTCTATAGGATATGCCTTGTTTGGAAAGTTGATATTGAAATTTTTCTCTTCCCCTGTAGATGATATGATACGAACAGGTGTTGAATGGTCAAATGTCCCGCCAACAAAATGTTCATCATCTTTTAGACAAATCGAGCCATATTTCGTTGTCACTTTGATTGTTCTTTCTAAAGTTATATCATTAGATTTGTTAACACGTAGAATGTCTACCAATAATTTAGCATCACTTGTTACCGCTACTTTCTCTTCAGATACAGCAACAACAGATTGTGGCATATAAGATAACTGGTATGATCCTACTTTCTCAAGCTTTTCATTGTAAACTAAGAATTTCCTGTTAAAATTATCAACGGTGACAAGTCTACCATCTGGTAAGAAATCAATCCCTGTATACAATGGTTCTTTTTCTTTATTGTTTTTCTGCTTTAAATTAGTGGAATTGACTCGTGTGATACTCATTGCCTGGCTAACAGGAGCTAGAGCGTCGGTTGTTTCTGACAGATGGAACTTTAGAGACAGTTGTCCTGGAACATAATCTGTGATTGGTAGAGGGGGAGTTTTAATGTTTCATCGAAATCAAAATTTACAATAACGGTCTCTAAGCCTTGGCATTCTGCATCGACATTTTGGTCAAGAACAATGACGTCATTCTTCATCTTCTGCTCTACTATAAATTGTTGTACCATAGTTCCACTCTGATACACATTATTAATGGTTTCAAGACACGTTGATATATCAGCTAGATATTTCTCGTTCTGAGACTGCTTCATTGTCATCTTTTCTAATGTCTCTTTCTGAAACCATTTAACGTCTGTAACAACTGAAATTTCCAACTCGTCAAACATTTTCATTACTTCATCCCGCATTCGTCTGATTTTAATTGGTATTTCTTTAACATCTTCATCTAGTTTCTCTTTTGAGGAGGCAATGCTAGCGACGATTAATTTAGCCTTCTGTCTCACTTTCTCTAATTCAACCGTTAAAGATGAATTTCTGTAGTTTGACCTTCCAGCGACCTTTTGAATTTCCACAACGTTGTGACATTTACGATGATCAACAATAGCACAGGTACTGCAGCAGAGCTGATAATCATCTTCGCAGAAGAATTTTAGAACTTCCTGATGTTGATCACATTGGTCTAATCCTTTCATATCAAACGAGCCTTGTTTCGTTCTCGCTGCATTCGCGTTCAGTAACTTGTGACTTTTTAAATAATCGTGTTTGTAATGAACGTTGGAACAATCCAAACACTGGAATTCACCACATGTTGAACAAAACTTTTCGGCTGGCGTTTGTTTATCGTTGTTCAAACATGGTTGACACAGAATTGGTTCCACAAGTCCTGGGACTTCATCGTTTCCCGCATTTATAGCACAACTTTTCGCCATGTTAAATCAAAATCAGTCACTAGCAATGCCGTTTTAAATGCGTTTCTTTTAATATAATGGTTAGTTTTGTGACACCTTCGTGGTTTTGTATAAAAGTTCCGCATCCGTTCGAGAAAAAAGGCCATTTTATTATTTCAGCTGTATTCGTGAAAAAAAAACAATGTTAAGGAAATTAATGCTTATTGTCTTTTGATTTAAAATCGTGCAAAAACATTTTACATTATAGACATAGCACTATTTTTAGATTCATTACATCAATCCATATATAGCGATGCAAATAAAGATTAACCTCTGCATTACTTTTACAAAAAATACCAAATCTTCACATTGACTAATGTTATAACAACTTTTTTCTAAGCTCCGCATATCTTAGACACACTATCAAAAAGTGAAACTCTGTTTCAACTGTTTTCATGTTACAGGATTTACATATAGCCGTTGCGCATGCGGAGTGTTCGTATGTCTTCCAGTTTCAATAAATAACTTTTATGGAGATATACGGATTTTTGATAAAGTTGTCATATATTTTCTATCTTGTACACAATCAATATACTTCTCGCGTTCAAATATATCTGTTTAAATAAACTATAGCATTGTAATCTCGGAGAATCATTTAATTCTGCGTACCATCACTGCTTATTAGTAAATAAATATTTTATTAATGTGTCCTATGTAAACATATACAAAGCAATTAACATACAAAGCATGGACTAACACTTATATACACCCGGCCCAATGGGCCTTTAAGACACAACTAACAACAATCTAAAAACACATGAACAATATAAAAGGAATGCACAGATTAAAAAAAAGAATTTTTTTATGTAAAAATGGTTTAATCTTCACATTTAATTTTTTAAGTATTCTAAGTATAGTTTAACAATGAAGGTGTACTGTATTAGAAATCTTATTCGTCAATGTTGTCCGTAAATATATTTGACAAATATGAATACAAAATGATAAAAATCCAAGATACATTAAAAGTCCCATAATGCCTAAAATTGCTTTTATTTTTATTTCTTAAGTTTTTTTTTTTTTTTTTTTTTTTTTTTTTTTTTTGTGTCTTGTTATACTTTGCGAAAGGTTACTCATTGGTCAATAACCTGAACCGTCTTTTGCCTTCTTTACCATTCGACAGTGAGTACAGTTACAGGGATTAAGCATTTTGTATGGAAGTCAAAATACTACTTTGCTTATATTTTTCTACTTTTATGACAAATAATTTCACTTTCTGTGCTACTTTGCTAAAGTCATTAACTACACATTTTTTAAATGTCATAAAACTCATTTTTGACCTTTCTAAAGAAAAAAAATATTCCTTTCTGAATCATGATATGCTTTTGAGTGACCTTTCTGAATCATGATGTGCCTTTAAGTTATCATTTCGACATGTTGGATTATAACAGATCGTTTCATAAAATATATGTATTAGCTGTTTATAGAATCTTTAACAATGGTTGATCTCAATATGATTGAACATATATATGATATGTTTATTTAAAAGTTCAAGATATGTTTAGGTGGTAATGATTTCAGTTAAGAATACTTAACCTTTGTAACTTAAAACATTGCTAAAAACAAAACCGATAATTTAACATTTGTCAAAGTCCATTGATAAGTAAGTAATGGCTTAGCTAAAATAGTAATCAAAACATAAAACAAAATAATCACGTCACTGTAATGCATTATATTTTAGTACATAAAAATCTGGCAAAACCATTTTAAAGTCATCGATATCAACTCTGTCGTACATTTACAGTAAAATATTTATTAAGTTATAACATACTGGAATATCTAAGATTATGTAATAGAAAGAGCATCGAAACACGAGGCTATCTGATTTGTACGAGGGGGCGTAGCCCCCCGAGTATAAGTCAGATTGCCGAGTGTTTTGATGTTCTTTCTCTTTTGTATCATAGTCAAACATAAAACACGTTCCCTGATACCAAAATATGAAACCCCACAAAAAAGTAACCAATGAACGAGCATCTGAATATGATATTTCCGCATCCCTTTCCGTTTCTCTGTCGTCACAACATGTAAACCCCAGCAAAAATGAGCCAATCAATGGGCATGCTCTGGAGTGCGGTTAACTAATACCTGCACTCCAGTTAACGCACTGTGCATGTATATGTATACGATTTAACTCTGTCACATTTTCAACAGAAATGTCCCCAAACCATGATACAATAGGGCATTAAGAATTGTCAATATAACAGTATCGCCATAAATTACAACGCAAGCAAGTTAAAAGACTTGTGTTAGCCTTGTAGTAAAGTTACATGCATATTTACTCATGGGTTGTTGGTGCGAGCTCTTTTCTGATCAAAAGCATGTTTCCTCTACCTAACTCTTCTCTTCATGTGTCTCTACCAATGATCTTCAGTATACTAGTATTTATTTTATGATGTGTTGATTTCAGGGTTCTTACAAGCGAACGAAAGTCCCACCGATCTCGAATATCGATAGGCGGAAACTGTCATCCGTTAGCACGAGACCCTTTACGTTATCACGTGACCCTTTCTTCTGTCCTCAAATACTCCTTTCTTGTAGTATATTTTACTCTACCTTTCTTTCCTTCTGATATTCCTTTTTCTTATGTCGTTCCTTTCTTATGATATTTCTTGCTTATAATATACCTTGCTTATGAATTGTTTTCTTTCTTATGATATTCCTTTCTTTCCTTTCTTCACTTGTGATATTCCTTTCTTTCCTTAAGATAATCCTTTCTTAATCTTATTAATCGTATGATGTTCCTTTCTTATGATATTTCTTTCTTATAATATACCTTTCTAATGAAATTTCTTTTTTTTCCTTAAGATATTCCTCTCTGATGAAATTCTTTTCTTATGAAATTCATTACTTATTGTACACGTATTCCTTCCTAGTGATATTCCTTGCTTATGATATTCCTTACTATGATATAATGTTTTTCCGAGATCCCTTTCCATTGATCATATTTGATTCTGGCATTCCTTTCTTCTGAAACAGAAGAAAAGAATATCATGAAATAATATCAGAATTTCTGATATTATTTTCTGATATTCTTTTCTTCTGGCATTATTTTATTTTGATATTCCTGAATTCTGATAATATTTTATGCCGATATTCCGGCATTTTGATAATATTTATTCTGGCATTACTTTATTCTGATATCATTTTAATCCGATAACCATATCTTCTGATATGATTTTAATCAGATATTCAGTCCTTCTAAAAATTTCTTTCCTCTTTTCCTGAATTCTGGTATCATTTTAATCTGACATGCCTTCCATCTGATATTCCTGAATTCTGGTATCATTTCAGTCTGATAGGCCTTCCATTTGATATTCCGGATTCTGGTATCATTTCAGTCTGATACGCCTTCCATCTGATATTCCGGATTCTGGTATCATTTAAGTCTGATATGCCTTCCATCTAATATTCCTGAATAGTATTTGCTTTGTTTAAATTTCAATTAATTCTTCTTTATAATGATCCATAATAACTGTTCACCCATACGCTGATAAATTAATTTATTCGATTAGTTTGCTTCTATCATTTTTCTTCTTTCACAAAATGTTTGAGTCTTCTTGACTCTCACTGCCCTTCTCCCCGGGTGAGCCAATTGTTTCTTTGAAAATTTTACTTTCTCTTCCAGTTCTAGAATCTTTCTACGTGTCTCCTGACGTTAAAATTCTTCTACAATATTAAAATCTGTGGCAATGTCTTCAACTCAATTTTACATCATTAAATACTAGTAAGAGATTAAATGGACCTGGAAACATTTTTTTCGAGATAAACCCTCCATCTGATGCAGATCTAGACCAAAAATTCAGATCGTCCGATCATTCCATTTTCCAGAAAAAAATATTCTTATTGTGCAAAAGAACCAAAACTGAAAGAAAGTTACAATGCTTTAATATACTCAAGTTCGGGTTAAGAATAGCGTAATGATACTTTTTTCACTTTAATATGAGTATATCTCTTAATTATCTATAGCATATATTTCTATTTTACTTGTGTGGACCTTTTTATGTCGCAATCAAAATTCAATCTCAGATCAGATTTTTTTTATATTTTGTGTTGGCCTTTCACCTACACGCATGTTTGCCTGCGGTTTTATTGATATTAAAGGTATCATAATATATGTGTTATTATTTTGCCACAATCAGATTACAGTTTTATAATTGTCATTGATGCAATCATTACTAAATGTATTCGTATTGTACCTGTATCAACAATTGGGGCTTTAAAGTATCATTTGTGAAACTTTCTGATGACAGAAACAATGTTTATGTAAAAAGTGCATCGAAAAAGCTTTTTATTGACACGTAGTTACAGGAAAAAACAAGATTCCGTACGACCAAATTTTCCTGTGTATTTCTGTTATCAGAAAAAAACACAAATGGTAGTTTAAAGCCTCTACTGCGGATAACGGTACGAATAGAATAATGATAAAAGAGTGAGCATGATTTTCTGTCAGAATGTAGGCAAGTTTCAAAGCATTTTTCATCATCATAGAAAATACATTCCTGCCTACAACTACAGCATTTATAACATTCTCAAGAAAAGACACACTGGGTACAAAACCTTAATTAAGTGATGATTGCATAAATGAAATTTGTAAAACTGTAATATGATAGTGGCAAAATAATAACAAATAGTATATACCGTTAATTTGTAGGTGAAAGGTCGACACAAAATATAAAAAATTCTGATCTGAGATTAAATTTTAATTGAATCTTTCTAGAATAAACTTCTTGATGTGTTTTAAACATATGGGCTCTTTGGCATGAATTGTGGTCATCTTTGGCATGAATTGTGGTCATCTTTGGCATGAATTGTGGTCATCTTTGGCATGAATTATGGTCATCAATTTATAATACCGACTAAGATGACTTCATTTTAAATCAATTACTTTATACATCACATCAAATCTTTTCCTATTTTATAGATTGCTTATAGATTTCTAGTCCGAAGATCTTCATAGCGTTAATTTTGACATAATTCAAGTTTTT